TTGACCATACACAACTTCATAAGGGCTAGTTCTGATTGTAGAATGGTAGGTAGTATTATACCACCACTCAGCCAATGGCAACCATTTTGACCACTCATGAAGGACATCCGCACACATACATCGAAGGTAAGTTTCGAAGCACCTATTCAATACTTCTACCTGTCCATCAGTTTGAGGATGGTAGGCAGTAGAAAGGTTTATTCGTACACCCTAACAAGACATCATATCTTTCCAGAGTTGGCTCACAAACACAGGGTCTCTATCACTTGTTATTGACTCAGGAAAACCGTGCTAATTAAACAGATTGTCTAGGAAACATTGAGCAACATCAACAGTTGTGTAAGATGTTTAAGTGCCATGAAGTGTGCTGCTTTACTCAACTTATCCACCACCACATATATAACCTGCTTCCCACATGATCTCGGGAGACCTTCAATAAAATTCATATTGATATGCTGCCAAATTCTTCCTGGAATATGTAATGGTTGCAGTAGTCCCAGGCTGGCAATTGTATCATATTTAGACTTCTGACAAGTGTTGCATTGCATTACAAGGGTCCTAACATCTTTTGTCATTCCTTTCCAATAAACCACAACTTGCATTCTCCTCAAAGTAGCATCTCTACCTGAATGACGTCTACTAGCAGAAGCATGCAGCCAATCAAAAATAGCTTTTCTGATCCAGCAATCTTTCCTTACAACCAACCTCCCTTTTCTTCGTAGCTCATTGTTCTGCCAAACATAATGTTTGTGTGAATCAACATTGGCCTAAATTTCAGTGATCAATTGTTGTAGTGTGCTATCACTAGCCCACGACTGTTTAATTTTGTCATACAAGTCAGATTCAGGTACACAAGTGTTGATGGCTTGACAGTCAATAGGTTCTTGTCTTGATAAGGCATCAGCAGCCATGTTTTCATGCCCTTGCTTGAACTCATAGAGAAATCAAATTCCATCAACTTGACCAGCCACCTCTCTTCAAAAGCAGTTGTTAACCTTTGGTTGAGTATGTATTTTAAACTCCAATGATCTGTTCGGATAATGAACTTTGTATTAAGTAAGTAATGCTGCCACTTTTGTACAACGAATACCACGGTCAAAAGCTTTTTTTCATAGATTGACAAAGCCTGTTGCTGAAAGTTCAAAGCTCTGCTGATAAATACAATAGGGTGGTGGTCTTGCATTAAAACAGCACCAAGACCATGACCAGAAGCATCCACTTCAACAATAAAGACCCTGGAAAAATTTGGCAAAGCCAACACTACACTGGAGCTTTCACCAATTTGGCTTTTAGCGTCTGAAATGCATTTAATGATTTAGGAGACCAATGGAAATTCTCCTTTTTTAGCATGTTGGTTAGAGGTTTAGCAATACAGCCATAGCTTCGCACAAATATCCTGTAATATCCCACAAGTCCCAAAAAACCCCTTAGTTGTTTAAGAGTGGTAGGTAGAGCCAATTTTGGACAACTATGACCTTAGCAGGGTCAGTTGCAACCCCTTCTCTTGAGATAAAATGGCCAAGGTATTCCACCCTTTCAACACAAAAATAACATTTGCTCCTTCTAGCATACAAGGAATTGGACCTCAAAGTAAAACCAGCTGCAAATATTGTAAATGTGTCCCTAAACTACTGCTATATATTAAAATATCATCAAGGAACACTAACAAAACTTCCTTAAGTAATCCTTGAAGACATCATTCATCAGCCCTTGAAAAGTGGCTGGTGCATTTGTGAGGCCAAAAGGCATCACTAAGTATTCGAAGTGTCCCCCATGTGTCTTGAAAGCAGTTTGGTGAATGTCACTCTCAACCATTCTTACCTGGTTATAACCAGACCGAAGATCGATTTTTGAAAATACCACTGAACCATGTAGTTCATCCACCAATGGAATTGGAAATCTGTCCTTGATAGTCTATTTATTAAGCTCCTTATAATCCACATAGAGCCTCAATGAACCATCCTTTTTCCCGACCAAAACTACAGGGCTAGTATAAGGACTAATGCTGTTTTGAATCACTCCACTATTGAGGTAGTCCTTAACTAACTTGTCAATTATATCTTTTTGACGTTTGGCATATCTATAAGGTCGTTTATTCACTGGATCTGCCCCTTGTATCAGGGGTATTTTATGATCATGCGTAGGCCTCTTTGGAGGTAATTCTATTGGTTCCATAAAAGATCTTCAAACTGTAATAAGAGAGCTTCGATAGGTTCCTCTACAATAGTGTCAGAAGCATGAGTAGTTAAGGAAGAAAAAGCTCCCTGACCTCCCTCACAAATGTGCAACATTGACAACTGAGGTTCTGAATTCATGACCTTGTTTAGCTATTTCTTCTTCATAGTTGTTAAACCTGATGGATTAGCCCCTCTCAAAACCAGTTTTTCTCCGTCCACATAAAATTGCATTGATAATTTGTCAAAATTCCAGGTTATGTTTCCTAAGGTAACTAACCATTCAATTCCCAATACTAAATCACAACACCCCAAGGGAATTAGTAACATATCTGAGAGAAAGTTGGTTTGTTGGATTGTCCAAGTGAACTGTTTGACTACAGAGCAGATTTTTACCTTATTCCCATCCACAACAACCACACTCAAATTTCAAACATCCTCAATTAACCAGCCCAATTTCTTAGCCATGTTAACATCGAGGAAATTATGAGTATTCCCACTATCAATAAGTATGTGCAAATGTCTCTTTTTAAAATAGCCAATCACTCTCATGGTCTTGAAAGTAGTCACACCTGTCAATGCATTTACGAAAATTTGAGGGTCCAAACTGTCGTCCAACGTAGGAGTCACAGAACCAAGGTTGGAAACTGTAATATCATCACAAATCTCACTACTGTCATCATCATCCGCTTCCAACACATGCAATTGGAGTTTCTTATGGGTAAGGGCATGGGCTGGGGTAAAAGGCTCATCACAAAAGTAACAAAGCCTTTTGGCTCTTCTCTCATTCATGTAGGTTGGGGTAAGCTTTTTATTGGTTTGTGTTTGGTACTTGAGGAGTATAGTTTGGTTAGCTAGTTGTTTAGGTGGGTTGGTAGGTAATATGGATTTGGAAGGTTGTGATATCTTACTTGGTTTAGAAAATGGGTTAGAGGTAAAACTGTTTGTAGCAGCGGATTCATATAATTTTGCCAAAGTGAAAGCCTTTTGAACATCCTGAGGCTGGAACATCCTTACCATCAATTGTATTTCCTTTTTCAATCCTCCTAAGAAACAACTCAACATATAATCCTCAGTTAAATTCAGCCTAGAGATTAGGGAGTCAAATTCCTCATGGTATTCAACTACTGATCCTTTCTGTTGAAGCCTCATCAAAGAAGCCATAGGGTCATCACAGGTATCTTCGAATCTATCAGTTACTATCTTAGTAAACTCGGTCCAATTGGGTAAAGTATGTACACCTAGCGTTTTTACAAAGGCTGTATGCCACAGGAGGACTTTTCCTTCAAAATGAATAACTGTCAAACGTACTTTGATATACCGTCAATAGAAAAGTATGTATTACATTGATAAATCCATTGATTTACTGAATCGCCATTAAACCTAGGAAAGTCAATACGTGCTAACCTAGTGCCACACGAGTAATTATTATTCGCATGATATTTATGTCCCACATTCACAACACTTCCATTTGTCGTTGTCAATTCGATCACGTGTTGGCGCATTTCTTGGAAGGAATGTTGAATTGATTGATCCATTGAAACTTGCAAGGCCTCTTGGACATTCATCTGAATTGACCTCGCCAACGCCATCAATCTTTCATTCAATTGTAGATTGATTCTTGATTCAATGTGCTCTTCCGATTCGCGTTGCGCAGCCTGGCTTCTTGCCGCATCTACCATTGAAGAAGGTTCTGGACGAAGTCTTTGATACCACTGATAAGGTGAATCTAGGAACAGCTACGTGTTCAAAAATTTCACAAGACAATAAGGAACTCAATGGAAGAATGAATTCTAAATATTACTTATTGAAGAACAAGAATGAAGTTCACACAAATTCTTTTCAAAATTCAAATTTTTTGCCTTACAACAGATGAAAACTATTTATAGTTTGTCAATTTCTAACTAATTTCCCATGTGTGAAATTATAACAGAATTCTTGCTAACTATTTTACACGTGTACAGTGACTTGGACGCAAGTCACCTATATCACAAACCATCCTTTCATCCATGAAAGCCATGCGAGCATCCCGTCCTTCAACCCTCTTTTCCAATGATTCAATTGTCTCATAAACCTGATCCTTTATAGCAAAAAGCTTTGTTGGCTTCAAAGATATTCTGACATCCTCGTCACTTCTATCTTTATCCTCTATTTATTTGCTATTTATAGCATGAGTAAAATATTATCGTCAGTGAGCCAATGTAAGCAAAACTGAGAAAACGTGTTTTGTTTTTAACATCTTTCATCCATTCTTTTTTAGGTTGTCTAGGTTCAATTAGCGTTATTTTAATACGCTTTGTCGACGAAAACCATTTCCATTCTGGTTTAAATAAGCATTTGACCAGTTAAGGACCAATACCTTAGTAAGTTAAACTATAAAAATCAATATTTCATGAATTAAAAGGTTAACATATTTTTTAAGAGCAAAAATTGTAGAAATTAAAACAGTACGTATAATCATGTTTCAATAGTAACCAATCATAATAAAATATAATAGTCAATATTTGCTCTCACGTAAAAAAATATTAAAAATATTTTATGAACCTCTGACTATATAAAAAAGAAATAATTAAAGTAAATGTCATTTTATAAAATCAACAAAAAAAAAAAAAAATATCGGAAACCAAAAATTATGATCTCTACAGTCTAAAAGACTATCTCGTAGTTTTACTGAGAATAAACATAAAGATTATAACCTGAAAAAAATATTATAAAGACTAGCCAAGAAAAAAAGTTGTCTACAGTAAAAACTGCTTTAAAGGTTTATTTTTCGGGTGCAGGGGATGAAGGAGACCGAAACTTGTTGACTCATAATACTCCTGTTTGATCATAACAGCGAGACCTGTGGTCACTAGAAATGTAGAGAGAAACTACAAACGGTGAACTGCGAACAACAATGTCTAAACCTCTCCCCTTTGCAAATGACTGCCCAGTACAAAATCTTATTGCTATGAGCAGCGGAACTAACTCATCATGTAGATCTCATTTTAAAGCTACACCTAAGCAGCTTTGTTACTGCGTGATGCCTATATTTAACTACGCCCTCACAGTACAAAAGTGTCTTTAAGCACCCGTCACTTGTTCACTTGGTAATTATTTCAGTTCAAAATACATATTTTAAGGTTAACTGCCCAAGTAGATTTTCTGCAAGCCCAGAAGACTAGCAACTATATCAAAAATCAGGATTTTCCTTGGTCTCGTTTGTTTTCTTAGTAAAATCAATGATGATAATGATTCTGATGCTGAAATATTTTCAGAATAACTCTAAGGTGACCTGAAAGCTTCACCAGCATATCGCACATTTCCAATTTCCTCTTCAATCCGAAGAAGCTGAAAAGAAATTAAGCACATTCGAGATGGAGAACAGGTATTAGATCACTACATTATCATGCTAACCATTCATGCAGTATGCAGCATTTGAATGTTAAATAAATACACTAAAATGACCTTTGAAACTGAGACATACTAAACAGAAAACATTGACTACAAGCCATTAATACTAAATCTTCATTACTATACTCAATTTCTTGTTTCACTTGTATCAATCTTATACCATGCCAAGTCCATTCCACAAAAAAAAGAAAAAGATAAGTATACGCAAATAAAAAGGAAGACGAATTAAAACAGGTCAGATGCAAAGAAAAAATATGTAGACATTTGATTATTGAAAATAACTTGTAATAGTCTAGTCATAAGGATTCTTATGTTATTTTAAGATAATAATGTCATAGCCTGAGCTGAAACGTTGAATCAAAGAGGAAGAAGTTAACACAAGGTTCCCGTTACCTGATTATACTTTGCTAATCGCTCACTTCGGCAAGGAGCACCAGTCTTTATCTGGAGGGCAAAACTTGGATAATCAACAAGAAAGTGATAACATCACAGTCACGGTACAATTCACTCACGCTAAAATGGTTAAATTCATCAAACCAAAAGATTGAGGATATATAACCTGTCCACTGGCCAAGCCAACAGAGAGATCAGCAATGAAGTTATCTTCAGTCTCACCACTCCGGTGACTAACCATGACACCCCAACCTGCTGCCTTTGAGTCAAGTGCTGCCTGAATAGATTCAGTTACTGTACCAATCTGGTTAACCTACACACAACGGATAACAGGGAAAGCAAATGAAACATTCATTGGATAGTGTCCCGAACATATCCTGTAGATGGTATTGAACTAGTTTACTATGCATTTTAAAAAATATATATCTTAAAAGCAAGTTGACAAGAGAAAATGCTGTGTATACTGTTAAGAGAAAAGAAAACGAAAGAGCATTGAGTGAATCCATGTGTCTCAACTACACATCGGAGCATATATTTATACTAGGAGCATTGATACATGAATTAATTACATAGATATTATGGTTATTTAATTACCATAATTACAGAAATATTATTTTTCTAAATATATCATCTCCCTAATTTCAGCATTACTATAATTATATGTTTCTATTTTTATATATTTCTAATTCTCCCCCTCAAGCTTGAGCATATAGATCATATGCACCAAGCTTGTTACATATGTTACTAATTCGAGGACCTCTCAAAGATTTAGTAAAAACATCTTACAGTTCGTTATTTGAATTGACAAAGCTGGTGGTGATGTCCCTTGATAAGATCTTCTCACGAATGAAGTGACAATCGATCTTAATGTGTTGTCTTTTCATGAAATACCGGATTTGAAGCAATATGCAAGGATGCTTGATTATCACAAATAAGTGTCATTTTTGTAATTTCTCCAAATCTCAGTTCTTTGAAAAGTTGTTTCAGCCAGATAAGTTCACATGTGGCTAAAGTCATGGCTCGATATTCTGCTTCTTACTTTTTCAAGAAATCAAATTCTCTCCAATAAGAATGCAATAGCCAGAAGTAGATCTTCTATTAACAGCAGAACTTGCCCAATCTGCGTCAGAGTAACCTACAATCTGAGCATGACCCTTGTCCTCATACACAAGTCCTTTTCCTAAGGCTCCTTTGATATATTTTAAGATCCGAATCAATGCATTCCAATGTCCTTCGCAAGGAGAATTGAGAAATTGACTTACTACACTAATTGCATAAGAGATGTTTAGACGAGTGATAGTAAGATAGTTTAACTTCCTAACCAATCTCCTATACTTCTCTAGGCCTGACTTGGTAGAAGTTTGGAATTAGGATCCATAGGAGTATCTACAGGTTTAGCACCCATCAAACCTATTTCCTCTAAGATATCCAATGCGTACTTCCTTTGGAAAATAACAATACCATTCTTGGATTGTGCCACCTCTATTCCCAAGAAATATCGAAGTCTGCCAAGGTCTTTTATTTGAAAATGGTGACATAGGTGTTGCTTTATCTGTGTAATGCCATGATGATCACTGCCAGTAATAACAATGTCGTCGACATAAACAATCAAGTAAATGCATCCTGTGGGTGAATGGCGGTAGAAAACTGAATGATCTGCTTCACTCCGAATCATCCCAAACTGTTGGACTACAGTGCTGAATCTGCCAAACCATGCCCTAGGAGACTGTTTAAGGCCATATAGACTTCCTCAGTGAAATCACCATGGAGAAAAGCATTCTTGATGTTAAGCTCATAAAGAAGCCAATGGCGAATGGCAACCATGGACAAGAATAAGCGAACAAACGTCATTTTGGCAACAGGAGAGAAAGTATCACCATAATCCAAGCCAAAGGTTTGAGTATAACCTACTCAAACCTTTGGCGACCAAGCGAGCTTTACGGCGATCAACACGCCCATCAGGGCCAACCTTAATTGTGTAAACCCATTGGCATTCGACAACTGATTTGCCTGCTGGTAATCTGATTCTTCTACTGAGCTTCCTACAATTCCTACAATTATTGGGTAATCTGATTCTTCTACTGAGCTTCCTACAATTCCCATCATTTTGTATAATCGATCCCAAGTATCTCAAACTGGAAACTTGTGATATAATATCATCTCCAATTATCACTTTCAATGCATGATCCTTATCTTGTATTTTGCTAAACCTACAATGCATATACTGTATCTTATTTTTACTCAAGCGAAAACCCTTAGATTCTAAAGTCTCTCTACATAACTCAAATCCTCAACTAACACTATATCATCTGCAAAGGATAAATTTAATTAAAAAATATAAACGCATGATTCTCATCTTTTTTTTGGCTAAACCTACAATGCAAATACTCTGCCTTACTTTTACTCAAGTGAAAATCCTAAAATTCTAAAGTCTTCTTCCATAACTCAAGTTTAGCATTAATCTCATCTCTTGAAACCTAAACCAACACTATATCATCTGCCATGTATATTTAACTAAAAATATAATAAAATGAACAAATTTCATTACATATCAGCAATTTAGCAAAATAATAGAAAGAAAAACTTAAGGGTTAGTTTGGAAGTTTAGAGAGAGAAAAAGGAAGAGTTTGAGGAGTAAAAGAAGGGAAGGGAAGGGAAGGAGAAGGAATAATAACAAAAAACTCCCATTTGTGGAAACTTAAAAACAGGAGTTTATGAGGATTTTGAAGGATTTATAAAATCTCTCCCTAACATATAAAAAACTCCTAACAAGTTTTACCAAATGCTAACCTTTAGAAGCAAACCATTGCAAGCTTTCTTCTGGATGGCTTCAGCTATTCTCTTTGGATTGGTAACTAACAAATCATCTCCTACAAGTTGAATATCAATTGAAGAAAGCAGTGAAGCCCACGAACCCCAATCATCTTGATCAAATGGATCCTCAATTGACACAATAGGAAATTCTTTCACAAAGTCTATATAAAGTTGACCAAGACTCTGAGCAGAGTGAACATGAGTTCCATCATTTGGCTCTTTCTTGAAGTTTAAATCATACTTTCCATCCTTAGTGTAAAACTCTGAAGCCGCAACATCCATACCTATTTTAATCTGCACCATTGTTTAATTTCCAGATCAGTACAAGTGGATATTCAAATTATGCAACAGAAATAATGAAAGCACCACGCACCTTTCCAGGATAACCTGCCTTCTCAATGGCATCCATGAGTAGAACCAGCCCCTCCCTGTTATCCTGAACATTGGGAGCAAATCCTCCTTCATCTCCAACATTACATGCATCTTGTCCATATTTTTCCTTGATTATCCCCTTTAATACATGATAAACTGTTCTACCAGAAATAAGAAAGTTAATTGATTGTCACCATTTAGAGTAAATCTCTAGTGATGTGGTTGAAAAAATCTTGAAATGTAATGCTATATCTAATATGCAGTCAGGAAAATAGGAATTTCGATTAGCCATCAAATTAGATGCCATACCTATCTGAGAATAGTATTAGACAGGAAATTAATATCAGAAATTATATCAATGCATGCCCAGCAGAATGATTGAGTAACTGATCAGAAAAGAAGGCATCAAGTTGAATGCCAATGTGATAAAATACATATATAAGATGCATGGTTGCAACCACAACTCATAAATTCACAGCCACACATCCCTCAGTGTGGTGACAGTAATAAAGTAATAGGTTTCTAACCTTCACTGCCCATGCAGAGTGCCTCAGCAAATGAAGTTGCTCCAACTGGTAGTATCATAAATTCTTGCATAGCCAGATTATTTCCAGCATGACTTCCCCCATTTATAACATTAAAAGCTGGAACTGGCATAACAAGTTCCTTCGTTCCTGAAATCTCCTGGATGTGCTTGTACAGGGGCACTCCCTTTGCTCCTGCACCAGCTCTACACACACTCAGCGAAACTCCCAGTATTGCATTAGCCCCTAGTTTAGACTTGTTAGGAGTTCCATCAATTTCCAGCATAATAGCATCCACATCAGCTTGATTCCTTTGTCAAATATAAACCCATAAATGTCAGCTGTAAAGCACAATGTCAAAAACAGAACACGATACTTTTGTTAGGACGTAAATAAAAATGTTTCTCTTTCTATTTTTCCTTTCAGACGCAATAACTAGTCCCAAGAATGGAAGTACTGTTCATTCAAATGATAACATGAACCAAGCATAACAGTCACAAAGTGGTCTGCAATTCAGTGTATATCAGATTACATAGACCTAGCTCAGAAAAAAATCAGCAAACCAACTCCATATCATAATATTTCACAACAATTTGATTCCAAAGCCATTTCTACCGCATCACTATATCCTGCTGGAGCATGACAACGTATTTCCAACTTCTCACCGGATTGTCGATATTAATTATTGAGAGAACACAAATCCTATGCTTTCGATATTGTTCACGAAGATCTAGTCTGTGACAACCTGTTACTTCAATTCGATATTAATTATTGAGAAAAGACAAATTATGCTTTCGATATTGTTCACGAAGATGCAGTCTGTGACAACCTGTTACTTCAATATTAAACAACTTAAATCTTCTGATTAACAGATCAGTGTCCAATGGCAACACTATATTGACAACTGATAAGTTTCAAAATCCCCAGAATGATTGAGATACCTACGATAAAATTGAACAATACCCTTCATCCCTTACTCATTTTTATAAGAAGTTAATAATTTTCCAAACAGAAACAAAAAAAATAAATAAAAATTACCATTCTCTATTCTTCTCGTCCAAACATTCATTTTCATTCAGTTTTACCTTCAACAGTATCAACAAAGCCCAACATACAAGATGTACTCACAGAGACAAAATCGTCAACAACATTGCTAAACACAGAATAAAAAAGAATACCGTTACCTAACGTCGACGCCAATAAGCTTAGGAGCCAAGACCTCATTGATGTTCCTAACGGCGTTGAGAACGCCTTTACCGCCATAAACGCTCTTGTCTCCATCCCTCAGCTCCAAAGCCTCGTAAATCCCCGTCGACGCACCGCTCGGCACCGCCGATCGGAAAAGCTGGTCAGTCAGCAGATCCACCTCCACCGTCGGGTTCCCTCGGCTGTCCACGATCTGCCTTGCCTTCACCGACTTCACCTTACACTCCCTTGACGCCTTCGCCACTGCCTCCGACGAAGGCGCCGCCGTGGCCGTGGCGCGCACGGCGAGGCGTCGCCCCGAGCTGCGGAAAGGGACGCTCTGTCGGGTCGGGAGAGGGCGAGAGGGAAGGAAAGAGGAGGGTGTTTTGGTGGCTGGTTGAGGTATCAGACTTGAAGACATTGTTTGGCCTTAATTTTCCGTCTTCTTTGGAAAGTGTTTCGAGTTTGTGAGATGTTGAAGTGAGTGTGGGAGTGTGGTTATACTAAAGCTGTGCTTGTGGAAAACTCCGCTGAAGGGCGGTGAAACTTAACCCCAAACGAAGCTTAAACTTAAAAAATAACGCCTTTTGGAGGTTGTTGGGGACACATGAATCCGAGCCCGGGAGGGGGGTGGCGGGGTAGGTGGGTATGGTGTGCATGCCTTCAGTTTTTTATACCTTGTAAAATAAAGATTATTCAGTAAACGTCTTTTAATAGAAAATTAACAAATTAAAAAATAAAAATAATTATATTTAACATTTTAAATATATTTTAATTTTATTTTTATAAAATTTATTTTTAAATAAACTTTATAAGTTATTGAATTAAGACTATTTAAAAAATATTAAATCAATTTTATTGAGTTAATTTTCTTGGTATCATCTTACATGACAATATATTATTAGTGTCATCCAAGATTATATTATATAATATAATATATATATATATATATATATATTATATAATATTATCTATATATATATATATATGTTTACTAAAATGATTTTTATTATATGTTAATGACGTGTTATGTATCTATGCGCATTATATCCCATGTTATTTTATAATAGTTACTAAAGTCACGAGTCTTTAAACATGTTTACAATTTATGATTACTAATGCTCTGTTCACATAAAAAGAAAAATAATAAAAAGAAAGAAAACATGGATACTCATGTATTTCTTTTATCTGATTGAAAGAAACAATAAAACATTTTGTTCTATTTTTTCTCAATTTCAATTTCAATTTTTTTCCTTTCCCTCACTATCCTTCCATTCTTCCAAATAAACTGTAATTGGTAATTAAAATCATTCTAAAAAATTATAAATTATAAAAGCTAAATCTAATAAAAAATATTTTAAATGACAAAATCGAATTTAATTGTATTTACAAAAATTAAAAACATGTTTAAATCTGCTATCAAAAATATTTTTAGTTAAAATATGAAACGAAAACTAATTAATGCAACAATCATATAATAAACGACTAAATGACTTGACACATTAAATAATATATAAGATTCCATGTAGAAATAATAATAATAATAATAATAATAAAGCATAGCTTTTAGGGATGAAGTTCAATCATTCATTTCACCCCTCAACTAACCTTTTTATAGTACACTAATTATCTCTGATCCCCATTTTCATGACATTATTATTCAATTGTCTCACTGGTGTTTGAAAAAACAGGATTATTATTATTTAAAATTGGGTTATAGAGATCCACCTTCGAGGGATAGTTAGCATTAACAGGATGTGTTAACAACAAAGCCTTAGGCTATTCCCGTCCCTGTCAGGGAGATGCCAACCATCTCTCTTTTTCACGAACACAGACTTTCTTCAAACAAAGGTTTGAAAATCACTTGCATTTTAATACAAGATGAGCAATCTCGTCTTTCAGCATTCGTCCGCCTGTTTCGCCCAAAATCACTTTTTTTAATCTTTCATGAGAACCACCATAGAATGTCATCATTAATATAACAATTAGTTTAAAAACATTGATATAAATAAGAATTATTTATATTACCATCCATGTAATCAGAGTATAATTATTATTATTATTATTATTATCAGAAAATTTTATTTTTCTAGTACCAAGAAGAATAATATTCTTGTAATTGTGTACTATCCCGACTCTTGGATATCCATTCTTCAATATTTTAATGACGTAACTTATATTTTAGAACTTTGGTTATGTTCACTAAGCTGCTGCCGCAAAACCCTTCTCATAACCTTGTTTGATGCTGTCCTTGGAAGAGATGGCAGAGGTACTACTTGAGAAACCTATACAAATGAGCATTTATTTAGAAAACTAAACAAATGTCACAATAAAAAATAGGAACTTTGTGAACAACAGAAATTACTCAGTACCCTGAACAGTGGATTTAGTTTCTTTTGTATAGCTGAATTAAAAGACGTCCTCAATCGGTTCAAATCTTCCTTTGTGCTATTTGAATTCTTGAATACAACAGCTATAGTCAACAACTCAGGTCCACCTCCAGAAGGTGGTACCCCTATTGCAGCGGTTTCCAGTATATTGCTATCTGCTCCATTGCATATTCGTTCAATCTCAACTGAACTCACCTATCCAAACAAACACCATCAAATGTCAACACACATTAATTTAGTAGAATGGTTAAACTTTCAGAGAGACTATACAGAATATAAAAAAAAAAAAGTCCCTCACTGTTAAGCAATAACAGTGATTGAGGATAGAAAAGTCAATAACTAATAACTGAATTCTATTGCTTAAGTTAGATGACAGTTATTAGATATCATCAGTAAAAATTGACACGAATGTACATATTGAGCATAATGATAATATAACAGATTTCTTCTCTCTTAATCTCTTTTCCTCTTGAGTGTTTTCTGGTCGTATCAGCTGGTATCAAAGCGTTGATCCGTGACGTCTGATAAGGGTTGACAAACCACCAATCAACAAGCAGCTATGCATGAAGGAAAAGAAAGAATAATAGTGTCCATTAATCTAAGATTAGTGTAATGGAGGAGCGAATTGACGAGTGGCAAGAATTGATTCCTGGGTTGGGAATGCAAATTGCAGAAGTGGGACAGAATCAAAATCAAGCAAGGCGGGCAATGGGGAATATAATATCCACACCAGATTCACAAAATTGGAATTTTCCAAGTTTGTTCAAGATGATGTGAATAGTTGGATCTCCAAATGTGAAACATTCTTTGTAGTTGACAGCATGCCCGAAGGGAATAAGGTAACACTAGCTAGTATAACTATGGATGTGGTGTCCTATCAATGGTTCCAGGGTCTTGAACAAAGTTTTACGTGGAAAATTAACTTGGAGGTTGTAGGCAAATGCAATGAAGGTTAGGTTTGGGACTGTGTATGAGGATCCCTTAGAGAAGTTAGTGCGATTGAGACAAACTAGATTGCAAGATGAGTATCAAGAGACTTTGATGGGTTTGTATGCAATGTGGACCTGAATGATACACAAAAGACTGAGTGGTTATATGGCTAGGCAGACACTAGATGTGAAAGTAAGGGTTAAATTATTTGTTCCAAGAACTTTCTTGGAGGCCACTAGGCTAGCTACATTACAAGAAAGAAATGTGTCTTTGTTGCAGGGACGGGGAATTGGTAGTAACAAATGGAGTTGGTCCAAGATTTCCTCTTCTTGGGAACCACCAAGGAAGATACAAGAAGGCAATGAAAAGAGAGAGGAAATAGGGGCCAAGGGACTTGTAAACAGCAGCGATCAAAAGGGAATTTTGGGTAAACCTAACTTTAGGGTGTATCAGTGATTGTCACCCAAGGAATTAATTGGGGAAGAAGTAGTTTCAGAGAAAGAGGTATTGGAATACATATTTTGGTGGGATACAGGCACCAATCACAACTTTTAGATTCATCAGTAATGAAGAAACGGCTCTAAGTTGTGAAAAAAGTTAGGCTACTTTGCATTACAGTCGTGATACGGGTCTTATTGTAATAAGGACACGTAGCAATAGATTGAAGAATTAGTTTAGAAGCTGTTTAGCAGTTATTCCAAAATTTGAAAAGTTGTTACAAGTTGTTAGGAAGTGCAGCTATAATAGAAAATTGTGGTTCAGAATCATTGGGTTTTTTTTTTTAGAGTTACACTCTTCTATTGTAAAGATTCTCTTTGTTCTTCATCAATAAAGATTTACTCGAATTCTATTCTTTTCTATTGGATTCCCTGTTGTATGCAAATCCTTTGAATTCTCTGAAATTCCTAGCTTTGCCATATCAATTGGTATCAGGTTGTAATGATCCAACCACAACAACAATGGCTGAAGGCACTCACAACACCGTCGCAGATCGTGAAGTCAAAGAACGCGTTGAAGCTCGCTTGAAATCGCACATGGAAGAACTCATGGAGCAGCGTTTGGCTCGCTATCCAAGAACGATGCAATCAAACATTCAGACGCATCTTGAAGCCTCTTTAACAGCTTCGTTAACAGCTTCCTTACAATCTTCAATTGTTCGGACGATTCAGCAATCAATTGAGACACAAATTCAAGCTTCAATTCAACAAGGCTTGCAAGAGTGTACCAGAAATCAAGACCCTCAATTTCAATTTCATGCGAAGGGCACTAGAAATTGTGGAGGTCACCATTCTAACCAGCCCTATTCTTGTGGGACAAGATTAGCTAGGATCGATTTTCCACGTTTTAATAGAGATGCCGTGAATCATACCAATGTGAAACTTACTTTGCGATAGATGGTACCCCGGATAATGTGAAAGTACGATTAGCTGTAGTGCATTTTGAGGGCTCTGCCCTTCAGTGGCATACGAGTTTTGTTAAAACCTTTGATCCCAATTCCCTACCTTCTTGGACTGCTTTTTCCAAATTGTTAATTGAACGTTTTGGAGATGCTTTTGATGATCCTATGTCTGAACTAATGAAACTACGGCAGAAAACTAGTGTTGTTGAGTACCATCAACAGTTTGATGCCATTATCTCTCGTTTGAACCTCACTGAAGAGTATATGTTGAGTTGTTTCTTGGGTGGTCTTAAGAATGATATTCAGATGATGGTCAGAATGTTTCAACCAGAAAGTGTCATGAAAGCTTTTACCCTAGGCAAGTTATATGAATCAGCTTCTTCTTCCAATCAAGCGTCCAGTTCAACCAACAAATCCTTTAAGCCTTCATTTAATCCTAAACCAATCTTGGCCAATAAACCTGATAAACCTCTTGAAAAATTACCTTTCAACAATAAAACCAATAACCAATCCTATAAAAACCTCGCACCTACTTATATGAGTGAGAGACGTGCTAAAGGGTTATGTTACTTTTGTGAGGAACCCTTTACCCCTGCACATGCCTTAACACACAAAAAACTGCAGATTCATGTTTTAGAGATGGATGACTTGACAGATGGTGATGCTAGTGAAGGTATCAGTTCTGAGATGGATTCTTTAGATGAGGGTCATTCCACTGATCCTCAAATTTCAGTAAATGCTCTCACTGGAGTTGCAAGTTTCAAAACAATGAGGGTCACTGGTTACTACAAGACTCCTTTGCACATCCTCATAGACAGTGGTAGTACCCACAATTTCTTGGATGTTAACATAGGTAAGAAGATTGGTTGTCAGATGAAAGCTATTGATCCCATTAGTGTAACAGTAGTTGACGGAGCTAAGGTTTCTATAACTTCTATGGCAAAACAGTTTCAATGGACCTTGCAGCAGCATACATTCACTTCTGATATGTTTCTCATTCCCCTAGGATGTTGTGACTTGGTATTAGGAATTGAATGGCTTGTGAAGCTTGGAAATATTACATGGAATTTTGATAAATTGTCCATGTAGTTTTATGTAAAGGGAAGGAAGTTGGTTTTGAGAGGAGCATCTTCCTTGGGGTTAAAAACTGAGAAGACAACAGTTAAGCAAGACACTTGCTTCGGGTGTCCACTTGTCAATGTTACAACTGTATGATCAAAAGGACAAACTACTACTTCAATCACTTACCACTCATGCTCCTATTAATTCTTTGCCCATTACTGTTAATGCCCTTTTGTTAGAATTTGATGACATTTTTCAGGAACCTACCACACTTCCACCAAAAAAAAAGGTCATGATCATCATATACCTCTTATGCAAGGAACTGACCCTGTGAATAAAAGGCCTTATAGGTACTCTAAGCAACAGAAAGATGTTATCGGTGGTTTGGTGAAGGAATATCTCAAGTCTGGTATTATACAGAACAGCAGCAGTCCCTATGCTAGCCCTGTAGTTTTAGTAGGAAAAAAGGATGGTTCATGAAGATTCTGTGTTGATTACAGGGAGTTAAACAAACATACAATAAAAAACAGGTTTCCTATACCGTTGATGGATGATCTTTTAAATGAACTTCATGGTACTGTGGTGTTTTTGTAAGTTAGACTTAAGGTCTAGCAATAATCAAGTTCGTATGGCGGATGAAGATATACAAAAAACAGCCTTCAAGACACATGGAGGTCATTTTGAGTACTTGGTCATGCCTTTTGGCTTAACCATTGCTCTTGCAACCTTTCAAGGATTAATGAACACTGTCTTTAATGAATTCCTAAAAAAATTTCTCCTTGTCCTTTTTGATGATATCCTCATCTATAGCAACAGTTTAGACGAGCATTTAAATCATTTGAGGCAGGTTTTGTCAACTATGAGGTGCAATTCTCTCTATGCAAAAAAATCTAAGTGTTACTTTGCTGTGGATCAAATTGAGTATTTGGGACATTTTATTTCAAAGGAAGGTGTTGCCCCTTTTAACAATCATATCAAGTCGCAGTGGCTGATGGGGGTCAATTACCAGGAACAAGGTGTGGGAAGGCATTAAATGGAAAATACAGGGCCATTAGTTTCAAACCGATACCATTATAACTGCGTTGGTGGGCTGTGACATGATTCTAGGAATCAATTGGTTAAGAGAATTAGGAGGGTCGGAAGGTTAAATTGGTTGCTATGAAGGAGTTCAAAAGTAAACTAGTTTCTGAAGAAAGACTTAAAATGCTAGTGGAGGAAGATTGTTGTGGACTGACAGTTGGTTCCTTGTTCAGTTGAGGGAGTATGTTGTGTTATTAAAGGAAGCCCTAAGTAAACTAATCATGAGCAATTGCAAGTGTTGCATTACTGTAGGAGTTTGGAGATGTCTTTGCTGACCCTAAACAATTACCAACAAATAGGAGAATATATGACCACAAAATTACTTTGAAGGAAGGTGCAAATCCCATAAGTCTAAGACCATATTGATATTACCTTGAACAAAAGGGTATTATAGAGAAAATTGTAAAGGAGCTGTTGGAGGCAGGATTTATTCAGCCAATTTCATCCCCTTTTGCAGCTCCAGTTGTTCTTGTAAAAGAAGAAAGATGGAAGTTGGCCCATGTGCATTGAGAATGACATCTGAACTTCAGAAGATTCATTTCATATTTTTATACATCTAATCTAAGTTAATGACAACAGATTAACTCGATTTCCCAGGAATTAGACCTGATATTGTGGGAACACATTATTTCACCATTGTTAAAGCTCTACACTGTACCAAGAAATAGAGAATGGATGGTTTGCTTCATAAAACAGGTTCGGGCTGATTTGTCATATGCTTATATTCTTCTAACAGTCTACTATCTTACTAATTAGTATAAACACAAAGTATTTACCTTGATTCCCCCAAGGTTCATTGTATCATCTGCACGACCATGTGCATGATAGTATCCTTTAGCAGTACGCTCAAATACATCTCCATGCCTCCGCAAAACCTGATTAGTAATACTATACGGTAAATATTCAGGTATTCCAGATATCAAAGTACTACATAATACAGGAGAATGGTATGCCCACCTTTCCATTCCAGAGAGGCATTCCCTTGAAATAGACACCATAATGGTCAGAATTAAGCAGTGTATTTGATGCTCCAAGCATGAGGGGACCAAGAGCCAATTCACCTATTCCTGGAACATTTTGTGGCTGTGATAGAAAAGAAGACTGAACATCAGTCAAAGTAGTAAATCTGAGCATTAATTTGTTCAAGAAAGAAAATTACAAAACTCAAGACAGTTTGGCAGAACTCAGGATCCATTTGGTGGACATGATAAGAGAACTTTTCCTATCTTATCCTTTCCACCAAATGGCCCCTCATTGTAAAAGCTTCTGGTACTAAAGACAATACTCAATATAAAATTGTCTTAGTAATTGTAGACATAAACACGTAGCAGTCATAATGGTTTTTCATGTCTAAGAAATCAAACATTAGTTGTAAAGTCATGAGAACTGCACATAGTTCACTAGCATATTAAACACTGATAATTGTAATAAATAATATTTCTAATTCAAAAGTAAAGTTGAATGAATAACTTACAATAGGATGGCCATCATCACCAAGAATAAACAAACTGCTGCACATAGCCGGTGTGCTAAAAGCAGCTAAAGACTGAGCCTGTAGCAGTGATCCACAAACAAAGCCACCCCCAATCTCTGTACCACCACAATATTCAATGATAGGCTTGTAGTGAGCTCTGCTCATCAGCCAAAGGTATTCATCTACATTAGATGCTTCACCAGTGGAGCCAAAGCAACTGCAACAATCAAAAGAATCGTTCCAATCATATACAGCATAATCATAAATGACAATTGCATTCATGTGGTACCTTATTGTATTAGGGTAGTACGTTTAACTAATACTTACCGGATAGCAGACCAATCAAAGCCAGATGTGGAATTTGCACTTCTCCAACTCCGTACAATACTTGGAATAACACCCAGCATTGTTACTTTAGCATCCTAAACAGGACAAAAGAATTAAGTATGAAGGAAAGAATATAAAATAATCCTAAGGACTGACCAAGAAAGAGCACAGCTACTATGATGTGTTTTGCTTATAAAACAGAAAATCTAGGACAAGGAATACTGGAATGAAACTTTGGTATTCCAATTATTCTTTTTATCTTTAGTCATATTGAATTTGAGAATGTGGTTCACATACGGTTATTTTCAAGCTACATTAGTGGCACAGGCAAATTGGTCAATCTCAATTGTTGTCTTTATGCAAAATGGTGGCCATTGTTATACTTGAAATTCTGAATTGTATTGTCTCTACTGAGAAAGAAGAACAAGAAAAATAGGATGAGTATATGTTTTGACTACACAATAGAACATATATTTATAATAGGGATCATTAATACAAAATATATAGTTACGTAGTCACTGTAATTACAAAGATACTAATTTCCCTTTTTAAAATTTTACAATAATTACATAATTCCAACACCTCCCTACAAGCTAGAGCATTTAAATCATATGCACCAAGTTTGTCATATATATAACTAATTTGAGGACCTATTAAAGACTTGGTATAGACATCTGTCAGCAAGTCATAAGAATTTACAAAGCTAGTAGTATTGTCTTCGGTTAAAATCTTCTTTCTAACAAAGTGACGCAATATGTAAAGTTGCCTAATTATTGCAAATAAGTGTCATCTATCTACACAATAAAGTAAATACAAGTTGAGGTTGAATGATGATAAAAAACAGAGTAATCTGCTTCACTTCAAGTCATGCCAAATTGTTGATCCACCATGCCCTTAAAGATTGTTTTGAGACCATAAATGAATTTTCGAAGATGACAAACAGGTTCTGAAGACTCCTCCTGAGCAACAAATCTAAGAAGTTGCTCCGTATAGACTTCTTTAAGATCACCACGAAGGAAAGCATTCTTGATATCAAGCTGAAAAATAGGCCAATGACATATAGCAACTATAGATATGAGTAGCCGTAAAAATATCATTTTGGTTACAAGGGAGAAAGTGTCACCATAGTTCAAGCCAAATATTTATGTATAACCTTTGAACCAAATAATCCTTAAGGCGATCAACTTACAATCAAGACCAACCTTGATCATAGAGATCCACCTGCAACCAACAAGAGACTTCTCAGGAAGAAGAGAAACAAGTTCTCAAGTACCCCTATTCTCAAGAACATACATTTCATCAATCATTGCTTGTTTCCAACCGCAATAAGAAAGAGCATCACCTATAGAGTGAGGAATAGAAACAAAGGACAAAGGTATAATGGAAAGAGGACAAATGATAGTAAGTTAAAGAAACATGCCCGAAGGAGAGAGAGTGAGTGGCACTAGAAGCGAGTTAGAGGTAGGCCTATCAAACACTGGTGGTATAGAGAAGGGATAGTGATGATAATAAACTTGCAAAGGACACAAAGGAGGTAGTTCTACAAAAGCATGAGATGGTTTTGGTAGAAGATAGTAGAAAGGGGCAGAAGCTAGAGGAGAAGTAGACTCAATGGTCGAAACGGGAGGACTAGGTGAAAGAAAGAAACAGATTCAAAGAAGTGACATCAGCCAAAACTAAATAATTGGTATACAAGTCTCAAGCCTATGTCCAAGGAGAGAGTCTGACAAAACTGATCCAGTATAGTAAGAGAAAGAAAGAAACAAATCTGTATTATTCACAAGAACTCCCTCTAGTCAATGTGACCATGAGGTAGAAACAGTACAATGTACACAAGGTACTCCTAGAGACCCCAAATACTCTCCCAAACCAATTCCAAGACCAGCCTGTCCCTTTCTTTTCACTCCTCTTCCTTTTATATCGCTTATTCTATTAATGACCAGTCCTAACTACATTAGTTAGTTAGGTTCTGGTCTCCTACCTTATTCCTATATTGCCTCATACACACTTTCTTTAATATTAGTCTGCTATTAGAGTCTCTCCCCTTTTAAAGAGAATGCCTCATCCAAGACTTCCTTTCAAATTCTAAAGAATCTTGTTCGTTGCTTATAAATGTCTTTCATGTGGATTATGCTTGAATACGCTAACAATGCTAACAATGTATGTAATGTTAGGTCTAGTATGAGATAGGTAGATTAGCTTTCCACTAGTCTTTGGTATTGGACTTTCTCTATAGTAGGACTCTCCCCTTATCTTATTTGATGGTTTTGTTCTATAGGTACTCTAGTAGCTTTGTATCGCTGTTTTCCAGTTTCCTTGAGAACATATATAACATTTTTTTTGAGAAATAAAAATTCTCTATTTTGAGTAGGCCACCTCAATTCCCTGTGCTTCAGTCTTTCTAGATCTTTTCTCTCAAATTGAACAACTAGTCTCTCCTTCAAACTTTGTTTTTTAATCTCATCATCACATGCAATGATCATATCATCAACATAAACTAGCAAAAGAATTAGTTTACCATCTAGTGAGTGTCTTATGAAAAGAGTATGATCACCCTGACTCTGTATCCTAAAGACACCATAGCCTAAGTAAATTTTCCAAACCAAGCACGAAGAGAATGCTTAAGCCCATATAGAACTTTCTTCAATCTACACACTTTGTTTCCACCATCAATGGTGCTGAATTCTTCCATATATACTTCTTCCTCTAAGTCTCCATGCAAGAATGCACTTTTTACATCAAATTGACGCAAGCTCCAACCAAAGTATGCTGCTAATGAAAGGACAGTTCTCACAATATTCATTTTTGCACTGGTTCAAATGTCTCCTCATAGTCAATTCCACAAATCTAAGTGTATCCTTTTACAACTAATCTAGCTTTGTACCGATCAAGGGTGTCATTTGATTGATGTTTAATTGTAAATCCACTTGTAACCATTGTAGTCAATCCTGGATAGCGGTGCAAAACAGCTGACCCAAAAGCACCATAGTGGGATAGGGGATAGGGGATAGTGGGATGACCACAATTCTGAAGATTTAAATATACCTAATATAAATGAAGTTACACACACACACACATATATATATATATATATATATGTGCTGAAAAATACAAAATTAATTCACAAATTAAAGACATGAATAATTAATGATCAAAAGTGAAAGTTTGACAACATAACACTTGTCAATAACAACCAAAAAAGGGAACCAAATAGAGGTAGTTCCCTATAATTGATTGGTAGAGCAGCCATTGCTTCTGTATTAGGCCTTCAAATTTGGAACAAAACAGAGAAGAAAATAAATAATAAACAGCAAAGAGAAATAGAAAACAGTGTGTTAATTGACTGGAAATTGTTTGGGTCATGTTGAAAATTTCATCAGAGATGAAGACAATGACTATAAAACATTTGGTCACGTTGGAAGCTTCACCAGAGATAAACAAACTGACTGGAAATGTCTAGGTCACATCAAAATACGTTGCTGGAGATGAAGACGACGACAAGAAGTTGGTCAAAAATGATAACTTTCAATGTCACACCAAATGAATAGAAAGTAAGTTGCACCAGAAAAGCAAGAGAAACAAAATGGGAAGGAAATGTTAGAGCTCGACGTTGAAGAAGAAGATCAGCTATGGAAAAGGAGGGTGAAATCCCAATATTACCCCTCTTAAAAGATATCCATTGTTCATACAGAGAGTGTAAAATCAATTTTTAGCTTCACATGGAATAGCAGCCATATGGCTGCAATTTTCACTGTTTTTTACCGTGATTCTGCAGCGCAATGGCTGCTACATCAAACATAATGTGATGATTGGATACTAGCAAAACTCTGCTCCACACTGCTGCGATAGCGGCCTCTATTGACTACTATGCTTGTAACCAATGTTATCAATAGCAAATGGCAGGTCATGGCAGACAAAAAAGACTGCCATAAAATTATGGCGGATGCCATGGTGGTCATAATAAAATTATATATATATATATAGAAAGGGTAATCTTTGTTCCTTGAGATATTAGGTTACAACATGATCTATAAATACGGATTCAGAAAACATCTTAAAACAATCAATCTAATCCCTATAATTCCTATTTACATCCAATTCTATAATTACATAGTCCTAAATCAGGAAATTTATAATTGACCAATCTGTCTTAAAATAGAGACAAAATCAGCCAAGAAATCAGAGAAAGATTATGTATACGATCTAATCTCCAACAATATATATATATATATATAAATACTAAGCAAAGGCCAATAAGAGAAAATAAACTATTAAAATGTTGAGGATTCTATTTTACAGTGCAGAATACGCATACAAGGAGAGAGAGAGAGAGAGAGAGAGAGTGAACATGAATTTAGTTGATGTTATGATCCCAAGTCTCACTTGAGGCAAATGTTTTCATTTGTTTGCATAAGATCATGGAAATGGAAGAGTTAAACAGAAGCACTAACAAAATATATTTTTTTGTAAGTACTTGCTTTTCTGCTGCAATACCAAATCCTGATAATGTACCAATGGAGGAATAGCAAATGTCCACAGGAAACAAAAAGCTACGGCAAGAATTGAGAATTTAAACAGCAGTATGAGTTTATACCTGTACAAACCTAGCAAAGCCAGAACCAAGAGGGGATCCATTATACAAAGCAATTGAAGCTCCATTTAGCAATGATGCATATACTAGCCATGGTCCCATCATCCATCCAAGATTAGTGGGCCAGGAAACTACATCACCTTTACGAATGTCCATGTGGCACCATGCATCTGCAGCAGCTTTTAAAGGAGTAATATTGGTCCATGGAATTGCCTTTGGATCACCTGTATATACCACCAAATCAGATTAAACTAAATGACGTCTTGACATTGAATTAACCCTTTTACCAAATATCTTCTATCAACAATAAAAACGCTTTTTGCCTAACAGGAATCCTTTCTGGCCAAAATACAAAATTTAACTTACCTGTTGTTCCAGAAGAAAAGAGAATATTTGTATATGTTTCTACTGGTTGTTCTGTAGCTATGAATTCCTTGCCTCTATTAAATTACATGACAACAAATGAGAGTCATAATTCCAAGAGAATATCATACATAAATTAAAATATTCATCCTAAATAACTTTCAAATCAGCTCTGAACATCAGTGAACATGATAATGTTGAAAGGATGAGAGGCATACCACCTACCAATGTTTTTCTTTATAACCTAAGAATTATATATCCAAGAACAAATTGCAAATTAGGATTAAAGTGCATACTTCAGACTGTTGGCCCTCTCCAAGAAGTCATGCCAAGCAAGGTCACCATCACGCAGTTTCATGCTAAACTCAGATACTCTGGTAGGAATAACAATTGCCATAGGTGACTGTGCATCCACAATTCTACTGCATTTGTGAAGTAACAATATGAGACACCCTATTGCTGAGTAAAAAAGGAAACAACTCAATGGTAATGTGTCTTTACTCTTTACTAAATAGTGAAAAGAATTTTCACCTGTACAGGGGGAGGCTTTTTTCACCACGAATAATAAGATCCTGATAAATGAAAAAGGAAGATTAAGGAATGAACAATCTTCCTTGATATTGATTAGATGTAAATGATGAGATGTTAATAGAAACCTGGTATCTTTATTAAGAAACACAGAAACTTCCAACTTTACACAATAAAACACACACTCAACAGTTCTTTGAGGAATTGCACCTATTAAGCCAAAAGCCCTATCTCACAATTGACAAGCTGATCTCTGTCTTTACCACCCTCTTATTTATAGAGGTAATATGCCTTATTTCTTCTACAATCTCAGCCTTCCTAACTACTAACTCATTCAAGCTAACTAATATATTGCAATTAACTATTAATGTGTCCCCAACTAACATATCATAACTAGCTAATAATGGGCATTACATAAATATACTCCCCTTCTGAAGTTTCATCTTGTCCTCAAGTTCAAAGATTGATTAAATTCCTTGAGTAACTGCTGAAATAAAGTCCAACTGATTGAAGCATGATAACCGATCCAGTTCCACCATGCAGCAAAATACAGCTTCCATTCCTCCCAAGTCAAACACAAACATGTGAATGCACCCAAACTGTTCTAATATTGGTTTTGTGTTGTATTTTTGACCTTGAAACAAAGCATCATTGCCTTTGTGAGTTTACTAAGAACCCTAGGTTCTATTGAGAATTGCACTATTGTAAATGGTAGAAGCTGATGATCATCAAAGTTCTTCACTACCTTCTGCTAGGTCTTGCCTTTTAGGTCAACAAATTAGTAAAAAATTTTGAAATTCCCTTTTCGTCATCAACTCAATTGAATGTGTCACCATGATAGGTATAGGTCAATTATCACAAGAATCTATGAGAGGGAGAATAGGAGGAAAGTCAAAAATCATAGCCCTGAACAGCTGTAACTAACTAATATTAGTCTTGTAACTAATGAGAAATAGACTATAAATAAGATGAAATCATGTAAGAGGACATCTCTTTTTTAGAATTGAGTGGTGCGAGAGCCCTTTGAGCTCTTGAATCTTCCAGGGACAGTTATTGTACAAACATATCTTGTAACTGATTTAGCTACCTTATTGGCTGAGATAGTCAAGACATTCTTGAATAAGATTCTTCTTCATTCTTGTTAATTTCTGGTTCCAGTGTTTCTCACTGGTATCAGATTTCTAATTCAGGAGTGATGAGTTCAAAGTTAAACTACAATTTATAGGTTAATAAGAGTGATTTAGGATGTGATTGTCATTCATTTTTGTAATATTTAGATGAAAACAATAAATATTATATCGTTACTTGATAAGCCTGTATTTTGACATACTTTTATAGCTTATATATTTATGTGTGACCCTTATTTTATTTGAGTTTTACACTAATTTATACATTAATTGTGCAGTTAAGCATTAAAGGACAATTGGATTTTTTGGTGTATTTTGGGACCAAATTGGATGGAAAATAGGGTTTCGCAACAGCTAGCACCCTCATCTCCCAGCTACCAACACAAGGGTGTTTCAATCCACATGCATGGCCGTACTTACCTACGAAAAATTCAACCATGAAAACATATTAGGGTTTTGAAACCCTATAAAAGGAACTCAAAGGGCAACAACTTAGGCATTTCTTTCACATCTCTCTCACACATCTCTTTGACATCTTTTGACTTTTTCAATCTTAGTGTTGGCTAGTCGCTGATAACTATTGGAGCTTCCGGAACATGTCTTGAGACCAAGAGCTCTCCTGGTCTCTTTTCCATTAGACACTCCTCTAGTTTACATATATTTTATGAATAATATGAATTGATTTTTTATTATTGTGATTTTCTATTATATTATGACTAGCTAAATTCATAGATAGGGTTATGGTGAATTCTTTGCATGACATTATGAGATCTTTGTAATTTTGTATTTCTTTTCTTAATTGGTATTTACCCTATTACGCTATATTTGTATGTTTGGAATTGACAACTTTTAAACATACTATAATTAATTATATAGTAGGAGACCATACCACATATAGTTAATAAATCTATACAATAAAACGAGACAAAGGATTAGATGTACCAAACTTAATTCTTCTCTTTCAACCATTATTAAATTAATAGCTCATAAACTCTTTATGTTTTCTCTTTTTTTTACCTTGCATGACTATTGGGGGTAATCTTATGAAAAAGATTATTAATATTCCATGACCATTGAATGTTAATAGATCTAGTATAAGTGGTTGACAATCATAAGAAAATTGTAATTAGAATTAATTTAAAAGTAAACATAAAGAGGTATAAAGGTGAAATCATATGCTCTAGGTTCTCAATTAGTTTATTGTCAGAAGTTGAGTTATTTTTATTAATTATTTTTATATTCTTATTTTATTTAATTCCATATCTCTTAAGTTCAAACAATTAAATTAAGATGTTCTTAATACTTGAAAACAATTCTTGTGGAACGATATTTAGAGAACTTAATTTAAAACCTTTTATTAAATTTCGACAAGTATACTTGCCCATGAACATTACTTGTCTAGAATTAAATGTTACTTTCGCATATTGTTTATCATAAAAAATGCATGAAAAAATCATTCTTCTTTTGATTTTTATGGCTAAGTCATTGAAGCACTCTTTGAGGCTGGATTAGAAGATTTGACAAGGATCAAAGCCTAATTGCATAACCTTTAAAGATCATGAGCAGAGAATATCATAAGGAAAGTGCAATGAAGTTTTAAAGATCAATGTAAAAAATCATAAATGGCAGGAAAGAAGATGGAGTGAATAGTGGAAGGAATCAAACATTTGATAGAGGCTCTACTCACATGCAAGAGCAGTAGGGTGACAACATCAAGGAACTACGATTGATGATGCAAGAACTGATTCAACAATTGAATGCAGAATCTGATCCTAAGTCATCAGAACGAAGCCTAAAGAAGAGAATGAAAAATGGTGAGAAACCAAAAAAGGTGGATGAAATATCAAAGGACGCAGATGGGTACGTAGACAAATGATAGAAAGCAGAAGTTCTTGTCTTTTTGAGGGAAGAAGCGCATGGCTGGGTTCAGAAGATGGTGCATTTCTTTTGATTACGAGAAGCTACAAAACATAGAAGTCATTCCCAAATAGCAACATAGAGTGGTCGACCCCAAAAACGCTACAACGGGATGACTGCTATTCTTAAGACAATCAAAACAGAAAAGGAAAATTGATCAAGGAGTGTTCAGTCACTAGAAAAAACTCCAATGCAAATGGTCTCACTAGAAACTGTCTCACTATCATATAAAAAAGTCTACATCTCGTCGAAAATAACTTGGGTTACATCTGAGATGAAGAAGAAAACTGGAAAATGTCTCTACTCACATTAGAAATAAGTTGGTTTCACTGGAGATGAAGACGACTGAAACTTGGCTGAAAATGGTGACTTGCACCAAAAAGTGGGAGGACGAAGCAAGAGAACGAGAGAATAGAGATCGACATATGGTTCGATCTTGACTTGCAAAGACGAAGAAGCATTCCAACTTTTAGAAACATAAAAAGCATTCTAACTTTTAGAAAAGAAGGGCAAACTTTGCCCTTTTGCCCTAGGATGAAATAGTATCTGCAAAGGCCACGATTTGCTTCGCTTTTTGCCGTGATTCATAGCACGACAGCTGCTACACTAAAACATGACGCGACAGCAATGGAATAGCGACACCCAGCAACTCCACTTCACACCGCCATGATAGCGGCCACTATAGCACAAAACCGCATTGGGATGGTTCCATTAGCAGCAAACTTGCAATCCAAGGCTAGGTCGATAAGAGCTCAACGTAGTGGTGGTAGAATGATTTCAATTAACTACAACAAAGAAGTCCACTTGTATTATCATTAGGATTGAAGCAATAGGCATTGGTAACGGAATTTGTGAATGAATTTGAAAAAATAAGTAGGCATGGTGAAAGGTTTAGAAGACGACAAATGGACATTTTTCTTAATGGTCTCAAGGAAGAGGTGGCCATGGAGGTTTAGTTGTACAAGCCAAAATCCTCATCAACTATGTTCAAGAATGGTTCCATGGTGGAAGAAAAGAACAAGGTAGTGGCTAAAGTAGGTTTGCGGGGTGGATCTAGAAAGGGGCTATCTTTTAAGTCCAATTTTTCAGTTTAGCTTGAAGGGAGGCTTCAAGGGAGATTTTGAAAGTGGAATATCATCAATGGTATCATCTAATAACAAAGGTAACCCAAGTATGGGTATTAAAAGCAGAGGTAATGGGTTTAGAAAATTGACAGATTAAAAGCAATGGATTGCAGAGCCATGCATGGCTTCAACAGAAGAACAATAATCTACAACTACAATCAAACTTTCTCTTCTTGATGAATTTCCAAGTATTTGTGACAACCATGAGTCTCCCTCCAACAAGGTGACAAGACCATAATATACACAACAAGGAAAGAGATATTCTGAATTTTTGCCCCTGCAAGTACCCTCATTATTAGGAGTCTAAAATAAAAAAGATAGTACAAGAGACTATGGTATACTACCATGAATTTTGTATCACATCATATCAATATGAATTTTAAATTATTCAACCTCTATTTCCTCTTTTACTCTACACCATCTTAACATCACAATAATTTCAACAGTAATAAATAGCTTTAGTTTGACAAGTGAGAAAAATACAGAAATATCTTTAAAACACCTGAAAAGACATGATAAAAGAAATCATCAGAAGAAATTAGAGATCAACCTGAGTAAATATGGATTTTGCTTTTGATATTTTTAGCCTGGTTGATATTTCACTTGCTGCAAAACTATCAGCAATCGATACAACAACATAACCTGCAAGAATGATAGCTAGGTAGATAACCACCGAATTGAAATGCATTGGCATATCAATTGCAATTGCAGATCCTTTCTCCAGATCCAGAGATTTGACAGCATACGCAACTAACCTACAAGAAAACATAAATAACAGAGCATCATTTTTGTTTTTATTAATCTTTGGAACCAAAGAAGATAAGAGTGGTGAATAAGCACACCATTACTATCCACTGTTTCAAATTCAAAGATTTTGCCGACAATATACCATGATTTCAAAAACTACTGCATACAGGCATAGCTATCTTCTTTATATTTTCTATCACAATTCATTCAAATCACAATCTTCAAATATATGAAGTTAGAAAGCAAGTCATAAATCATAGAATGGTCAAAACTTGCTCTTTGTACTCGGAAGTTGCAGATCTAGCCTGCCAAGTGCATGGCAAGTACCTTCTCGTAAAAACTGCTACATAAGCTACAACATAAATCAGGAAGCACTGCTGTTACAGTGGTGAACGATGGAAAACTAGAATCAAGGAAATGGAAAATGAATGAAAATGATAGAAAATTCTGAGCTGCAAATTACCAACTCTGCCCCCTGGGCCTAAGTCACCTAATTGATTCCCAAATTCTGCTGTGCTTTCCCACTACTCTTACTCCTTGCTCCGAAGTCATGTTCTTCTTCCCCTTTTTCCATAATTGCAGAATTTCCTTATCCAACACCCTACTTCGAAGTGTTTCTTCTGTTACAATCCCCTTTCTCCCCCACAACCACATCCTCCACTGTTCTAAGCAGCTCTTATAAGGCTCCGTACCACATGTTGCTTCCTTATTTCTCCTCTCATAGACCCACATAAACTCCCTCAGCCCATTTCTCACCATCCTACCCTCTTTTTCTTTTCTCTTACAAACATGTGTTCAAGGCCCACCAAGAATCAAACAAACATGTCAACCAGGGAAGAAACAATAGAGTGAGGTAGGTTTTCTGTACCCTGCTCTAACAGAAAGAATCCAATATAGAAAATTAAAAACATCCACTTTTAGAATGTTCTGAACAACCATGAAGTATATATATTATGTTGTACCATTCACAACTACAACAAGTAAAACAGCATCAAAATCTAATAACAAATGGATACAGTATTCACAGCATACCAAACTTCTTCACGCAATTCCTTCAGTGTCATCCTTTGCAGAGAAAGATCACCATGTTGTTCATCACGCCATATCATTACTGTATCATTCAAACTTCTTTTGCCATTTACATTTAAGCAATTCTGTGCTGGATTAATAGATGCTCCATGAAGCCACTGACCACTTGGGTGTGATAACAGGCCTTCTTCCCCTGGGAGGCTATCACATAAGATGCACTCAGGTGGTTTGGAAAATGATATGTTCATTTCATCCAGCACAGTTTTCCAATATACCTGAAACAATACACTAGTGCAATGAGCAACACTGCCAAGTACAAGAAAACTTGTGAAATTGATAGCAAATTCCTCCGTTAGAGAAATGCTAGCAACTCACTACTTACAAAACTCTTTACATGACCCTTTTCAATATCAAGGTTTTGGAGGTCTATACAACCGCATTGCAAATGCAGGCAAATGCAATTACAGCCGCATTTGCCTGCAATCGTTCTTAATGTTAAAGTTTTAGAATTCTATGTAACTGCGACCGCCAACCGTAATTTAAATTATTGCTAGCCTTCCTCAGTTAATTTAAAATCAGTTAGACCTCAGGGTTTGAGACTGAAAATTTCTGGAAATCATCAAAGCTTGTAATCGGATCCTTATATGCCGAACCGAGGAACTCTTTACCCCTCCTCTCTAGTAACTGCCCAACATTTGTCAGAGTAGCACTTTCCCTAATCACACAAAAACAAAATAAGTTTAAAAAAAAGTAAACAACCTTTCGATTCATAACACAAATTACTGCAAACACATTTCAATTCAATTCACTTATTCATCATATCAATTAAAACAGCTGCCAAATAATTGAAACACATAACACATATATCAAGTGAAGTGGACTTAAAAGAGCATACGGGTCGGGTATCCAAGCGGGTGGGTCGGGACCGTGATCGTTGTAGCAACCATAGTACAACATTTGATGGAAGGAGAAGGGGAGTTCAGGGTTGAGGATGCTGCTGCTGATGTGCTGCCACGTGGCAGGGGTGCCTGCTCCATGGACTCCAATGATTTCTTTGAGACGTTCGTGGAGAGTGGCAGCAGATTCTCTTGTAATTCCATGGGATTCAATATCGGACACAGTGATGGAGCCTAGCGATTTGTAAGCCATAATAACAATATGTTACAGTATCCAACACTAAAAGGTGCACAACTCACTTCATTCTAGATTCTAGTGGTTATCTTCGGACCTGAAACCCAAAATCACAAACCCATTACGATAAACTACTTAATCAACGGAAGTTCAACATGAACTTTCAATGTTGCTTCTTCTATGATTGAAAACTATGAGCGATGGAGATTTTATTCAAGATTTATTACTCTGTGAAATCATCGTGACTTTTTATTCTTATCTCGATGAATATATTTAAGATTTGTATGCATTAAAAAGAGGGGTAAAAGAATCTGACAGCATACTTATCCGCACCAGCTAGGACAGCATGGCAACAAGGTCTCAATTCTGTCAATTCACCTTCCATAAATCACGTGATTTCGCAGTGTGATTTTTTTTTTTGGTGTAAAAATAAAAGTTTTGCTAAATAGATAAAAAGAAATGTTGGTTTATACAATGTTGATATTATTTTTACGAATCTTACATATTTTGCACTCTTTCAATTGAAAAAGGAAGAAGGAAGACATTTTACTTATTCCTTTCAAATATCTTTCCAGTCGCCAATACAAATTTTTAAGGGAAGTCTTTATTCCCTCTAACTATTTTTAAGCATAAAAACAATTCATTTTAATTACAAATTAAAAATCATTATCAAATTCATTAACACTTCTTAAGATTGCATAAATTAAAGTGTTAATAATGACATCAGCGATCGTGATTTTACCTAATCAATTTTATTTTAATATTAAATTTAGTATATATTTGATTCATAACTATTATTTTAATTTATGAAGGAAAATATTTTTTATAGTAATTAAAAAAACCCACTTTTATTATTTTATAAATATATGAATATTTATATTTTAATTTTATATATTTTTTATATGGAAATTTTTAACACATATAAATTTAAATTAATAGCTTAAAAATTATTATATGTATAATTATTGATATGAATATATTATTTTAATTCTATATTATTAAATTAAATATTTTATTAAAAATAAAAACTTGTGTATTTCACAAGTTTTAAATTAATATTTAACAATTTTAAAGAAAAATCTTTACTCACAATAACTTTTCACTTTTTCTTGACCCAAAAAAGGAGTCTTAAGAATGCTACTTTCTTTAATAAATTAAAATGTTCAACAATATTTTTAATTAATATTATATAATTTTTGTTATTAAATTAATTTTCAATATTTTAAAAATACATAAATTCAACTTACATTGAATCTCATTTTAATCTAGAGTTAAGTATATGATTCTAATTAGACTAGTAAAACTATTGTAGTTCAACTATTTAGTGTAATTATTAATATTTTTTTGGTATATTATAACTACTTATTTTGTAACCTATCAAACTCATTTTGAGAGAGTCATAACAATTCACATCAAGTATTTTTATGATCTTTTCTTTAAGAAAAAGACTCATCGTTATGATTTTCTTTTTCTTTTAAGTTTCATCTAGAGTCTCAATATAAAAAAATTCATAATAAATTCAATTCAAATCCAAAAATTATGAAACTAGTTTGTTATTACCCTTTAAGCGTCAAGTTTCTTATGAAAATATAAACATAAATCAAATAACTAAGATATAAGTCACGTATCTCAACCACTATGAAAAGGTCATAGACATTATTTTTCTAAAAGTCAATAATAATTCATATTTGATTCATTTTAACTCCAAAGTTAGAGAAACCAATTTTATTTACTTATAAGATAGTATTTTACTGAAATTAAATCATTATAAAATTTATTCCAAAAATACCTCTATAAAATTTATTCCAAAAATACCTCTAATATTTTTTTAAAACTATATTTAAGTTCCTATATTTTTCTTAGAGTTACAAATAGATGCATCCTAGTCATCAAGTTTCTAGGGTTCTCTTAACACGCATGTCCTTATCCTATTGGTCTAAGTGTCCCTTAATAGAGTCCAAATTGCCTTCCTTTAGCCAAAACATCTATAATTTGGATTAGATTCCAACTCTTCTTCCTAATTCATTTAAATTCGAACTCTTCCTAATTTATTTGGATTTGAACTCTAATTTATTTCCTTCTAAGTTCTATACCATTTTTACTCAAATTTACATTAAAATTTTATGGCCCTACATGGTTTTAAGTAAGTTTGATTAAAAATTGAATTTTTGTGTTTTAGCAAAAATCATAATTTTATATAAAAAAATTTGCCGCAAAATAGTATAATAGTTCAAAGTTAAAGGAATATTTCTTAAAAATAGTATTTACACTACTTTCAACATATAAATAACCATTCCATTATAAGAATATAGATTAAAGTATAAAAACTTAATAATTCCATAAAAAACTTTTCTTTAAATTTCTTTTCTTTTATTGAATAATTTTAAATCTTTTGAACAATAATTACCTATTAAATAAAGGGATAAGTGATTTCTTTGACTCAAAAGTTCAATTAGCCCATGTATTTTCTTAACCTATGAGTAAGTACTCCCCCTTACTTGGATTTAGCCGATTCTTGGTGCAACTATTTTGCAACCTTTGTTCTTTCTTCCTATCTTGATTTTTGACAACTTCAAAGACTTCTCCTAACCTTCTTTGATTCTTCATTTCACATGGAATTGGTGAGATCTAGGGGGAAAACTTTGAAAACGACTTAGAAAGTATGGTTCTAAAGTGTGTTTTAAGACTTATCTTAACTTTTGGTGGGGTATATGGTGAAAGTGACTTTTGTAGTTCTTGGTGGGGGTATGGATCACAAATTTATAGTGGTGCCAAGGGGCTTTGATTGATATTTTTAAAGAAAAATCTAGTTCTTTTAGGACTGCTCCTTTATTTCACTAACTTTGCATATTTTGGACAAGTGTTTTTATCCTTATCATTTTTGCAAGATTTTTCTCTTTTTCCTTTGCCATTCACACTACTTGTAAGGACTAGGCCACTTGTTCAAAATATCTCCTTCTGGCATTAAATTCAAGTGCTTAAGTATATGAATGATTTGTTCTTAAATTTAATGCATTAAAATCCTACTTTATTTCAATTTTTTTCTCATTGGTCTACCTTCCTAGTTGAGTTAGTCTTTCTAGATTTTTATGCTTGATATCATCTAATCTCTTAGCATTTTCATTTTGGATTTGCCATGTAATGGCTTCTTGAAAAATTTAGAAATTTTCTACAAGTGACCTTCCAAAATATTGTCCATTTAGCATTGATATTGTGGGTCTTTTCTTTGAGTTTTTTCTTAAAATAATTTGGAAAAGTTCTACAGATCTTTGGGTTCTAATCTAACGGTTAACATGTAATATAATACTAGAAAAATTTTGGTGCTAACTAATTACAAGAAAAATGGGTTCAATTAGGGACATTTTCAAGCTAGTTTCTTAGAATTTTAGGTAGTTTTAGACCATTTATTTGTCTTTTATTTTTATTTCTATCTCTTTGTTTGTTTGTTTAATTTATTGTATGTATCATCTTTATTTAATAAAAATTAAGTTATCTTGCTTGTAATATTTAGTTGCTTCAATTTATACCTTGGTCTTAATTTGAAATTCACCTTAGAAACTTGGTTTTTCATTAATTTTCTCATTTTATTTCTAATTTCTTTAGACAATTTAAGGAAAGAATTATAACTTAAATAAGAATTTAGTAAAATAAGGATGTCACAATCTTCCCTTATATGACACTTCAACATTTCAAATATGTTAGCTTAGCTGTAAATTACGTGATAGTAGGAATTAGTTACTTCGTGATTCTCTCAATTAGTTTCTGATTGTAATCTTCTCCTATTATTGTGATACACCTTTTCTTATCTTAGTAGTTAAATGATGTAATTCACTACTAGCAAGTGTACTAGGTAATTGTAGCAAGTTATAAAATGTGAAAATCAGATTGAGTCCCAAGTATCGTCCTCTAGGATCTTATTTTCAATCACCAATTCACAAGATAATAACCATTTGCACCAAACAATTCATTGAACAAATTTCAATATGCAAGAAAGTAAATTTCAGAATTAAAGAAATGAGAAATTGTTAGAAACAGAATGTTAATTTGTACTATTCGAATGAATTACGAATGGAAGAAAAGTTAGGAATTTATTTCACTAGGATATCAATATTAATTCAGTTCTGCCTCTGAACATTCAAGCAATTGATTGATTGTCAATTGGTTTCTCTTTACAGTAACCAAAGATTGATTCCTCAATTCATTGGTCCTAATATTCAACCAAATCTCCCTAATTCCTTAGGCCAAATTTAGTTCAATATTGCATTACGAATTAGAACCAAAAGATTGCAAAATAAAGACCACTTATCCCTAAGAAAATCAATAGTTTTGGGAATTAATTCAGATCCAAGCAACAAACCCAATTTTCATTAGTGAAGGTTACTTTTTGATTAATCAATTGAACTTCCATTCAAAAAATCAAGTAAACACAGAATTAATCCCTCAATCAAATCAAACACTCAAAGTTCAGAGTCAAAACGAAATCAATATATCAATTCTAGATCCATAAATCCCTAACAAAAAGAGTTAGAAACATATTACAATGAAATGGAGAGAAGAAAGAAGAAAAGAAGATAAAAAGCAGAGAGTCATCTCCATCACTTTGTCTTCTCCCAGATTCCTCTAGCAAAGAAGAAAAAAAGTCGCTCCTATCTTCTCCCTCTGACTTCCCTTGGAAGTTAAAACGGTTACAACTGAATACCAAAACTAAAAAATGACCAAAAAGCTCTCTTTTTTCTAAGTTTCTAATTCCTATTTATAGAGTTCCTCTAATTCTTTGACTTAACCCTTGGAATTCTGAAAGTTAGTTATCCCCAAGTGTTCTGGAATCTTCTAAAAGTGATACAAAAGCTCCAAACATCCAGATTGGCGGGAAAAAGAAGTTATAAAAATTTGCAGAGTTTTGCGCCAAAATGCGCAGTGACTGAACTGCGCGCCTTGGTTGCAAATGATGTGAGTTGCAACTCTCAGTTGCGCGCCAAGGCTTCAAGTGATGTGCGTTTCAACGCACATCACTTCAATGAACGCTTCTTCCATATGCTCAGCTTTGCGTTGCTACGCCATCTGTTATGAGTTGCCACTCTTTGTTGCGCGCCAAAGCTCCAGGTAATGTGCTTTCAATGCAATGACAGTTATCCAGTTACAGTTGCTGGAGTGTTAACGCGTATCACTCAGAGTAGCCACACAGATCCAATGCTGTATTTTCTTCTTTCCACGTTCAAATGCCAATCACTTGGAGTTTTAACGCCCAACTCTTAGGATTTCTTCCAGCTTGATTCTTTAACTTTTCTTCTTTAATTTCAGCTTTTAATCCTTCCTTTAAGCACTTTCAACAACTTTCCATCTTTTGCATGAAC